TTTTTTTTTTTGGTAAAGTTATAAATAAAAAATATTCTTCAAACACAAAAAATGTCTCGATTGATTTTTCTACTTGTTTTCGTACATTTTTATAATATAAATTTTTCAATTAAGGTAAACTTCTTCACTTCTTTTCCTTAAAATACACAAAGCCACAAAGACACAAAGAAATTTCTCAGGAGATTCGAAAAGTAATTATAAAAAGTTAAGAAGCGAGGAAAAAATTTTACGCAGAAATAGCAAAATCAATTGGAATTAGTCGAGCTCTACTGTTCGAAACTATTATAAAAAGTTACAATAACGCAAATATCATGGATATCAATCGGGCCGACTAAACAAACAAAAAACAAAAAAAACTAAATATTATTTGTAGCATACATATTGTAGCAAGTGAGCCCAAACGTAGGGCTATTGGCATTGCAAAAGACCTAACTAAAAAAATATAAACAGATTAATATTAATTTCGAAACCGTTCGAAACGTTTTAAGATTCATTGATTTCCTTATCTGCATTCCAAGCAGAAGAACCGTATATAAGTGAAATTAATATGATAAAACGCCTCGAGTTTGCAAAACTCTACAAAATTGATGAATGATATAAAAATTGTGGGAAAAAATTAATTTTTAGTAACGAGTCTAATGCTTCGTATATTCGGGTACGATGGTACACAATGGGTACGGAGGAAAACTAATACAAAATTTATTACTAACTGTAAAGCGCGGGGGAGAGCTCGTTATGCTTTGGTGATCGCATATCTCAGGCTTAGGAATAGGAAATCTGGTCTTTATTGGCACTAAAATGGATTGTTAAGTTTTTCTTAATCTCTTGAAAGTCAATTTGAGACTTTCGCAACTAAAATGGATCCTTTGGGGCAAACGGATTTTTCAGCACTGTAACGATATGAAGCATACATCTCTCATTGTAAAGGGATGCTCACTTTATAATATTATATTTAAAATTTCCAACATGAAAGATCTTAAGAAAGCTTTACTTGGGGAATGATGCAAAATTGATGTAACTGAATATAACAAATAAAATTGGGATTTTGTAATGCCAAGACGTAGACAAGAACTAGATGCTAAAGATTCTCCAGTAAAATATTAGTTTCTTAACTTTATTCGCAACTAGTATATTAAAATACCTATGAGCCGATAGCCTGTGTTGCTAGTGCTCAATGTCTTTTTTTTAGTCTAAGAATTCATTTCATTAGTCTAAAATTAAAATTAAAATAATAATAATAAAATATCAACTTTTTTTTGATAGTTTTTGCGATTGAAGTGTACTTATTGTTTATAACTTGATCATAAGGCGAAAAAAAAATATTTTTTTCTTAATCGTTATTTAATGCAAATTTTTATTTAATTTTTAAATGCATTTTGTTGCCATTTGTTTACATTCCAATTTCATTTAATTTTAAAATTAATTTAATAAAAAAGTGTAAACACAAAAAATTAAAAATTAACCCCAATTATGCATTTAACGGTTTAAAACAAAAAACACTATGCAAAAGTTACTTGCTACGTAAAAAATTACGAGTTTAACTTTGCTATGCATATTAAGGGTTAGAAAATATATTTTTTGACGCTCAAACCATAAATGCAGTTTTTTAATAAGAGAAACATTAATATTTCGCAATTTGAGCGTAGCCTTTATTGGCCTAGTGCATATACAGACAAATATTATAAAAAATTCGACGCACACACGGTCATATTCGGCCAACGGAGAAATTTGTTATTAATCAGAATGTTTCCTTAGGACATAATAACAAGCGCATTGAAGATACGATTCGATGCAAATAAAGTTTCGTTTTTCGTTTGTTTTCTATAAATTTTCTTTATCGAACCACACGTCTCACGCTCGTCTGAATTACCAAACCCCACCGCTATATACATATATCATAAGCAATTTAAAAAAGAAGAAAAAAAAAGTGATGTGCTGCATTTTTGCCATATATGCAAAGAATATAAATATAACTTTGCCTCTACTTTATAAGTTTCTAATGCAAAACCGATACAAAGTTAACTTGATGAAAAATGAGAATATTGCACATAATCTGCGTTAATAACAAGCTGACAAAGAATGAATTTTCGTAAGGAAGAAAATAAATAATATAATAATAAAAAAAAAAAAAAAAAGAAATGTCGAAAATTCTTTTTTGCCAATCCAATAATCCATCTTTTAGATGAACTGACAAATTAAGCAACGCTAAAGTAAGCGCCTCCGGGTGTACTGCTTAAGAAGATATAAATATTTTAAAGCTTTGAACACCTTAGGCTCTACATAGTTTCTTTAATAATTTAATGAATTTGAAAACAAAATTTCAATTAACTTACCCGTGCTCCAATGAAACGTGCCTCCAATAACTCTTGTTTTCTCGGATTCAAGGCTGTTTGAAAATGATCCATTATCCCTAAGCATATGTTCACAATTAATATTTTATTTATTTATTTATTTTTTTTTTTTTTTTTGTTTTTCTTTTTATAACAAATTCACTTATTAAGCAACAGCATTATATCGAAAGCAATATCACATTTATATTAGACTGAAAACATTATTGCCTTACACCGACTTAGATGAAACTCTCTTTTCAGTTAAGATTCTGATTTTTAATATATTTTCAAAACTGGGCGCATGTAAAAATCTTTACATTGTATGCATCCGCCTTGATATAAATAATGAATCTAATCGACCTTCTAAAGATGATTAAATCCATGATACTATAAAGAAGTACTTAAAAATCATTTACCAAAACTATATACATATAACATTTTATTCTTTTTCGAATAACAACCAGTTAATAATAGTGTTTTCTGTTCACTTTTTGGATTTTTTGTAGATGTAACAAAAATAAGTAGAAAAAAAATCTATAATGGGACACGGCGAACGATTAAATATGGTACACCATCCCGGTTACACAATTAGTATACAATTATTCACAATATGACTTACTAAAGTAAGATATTATATGGAAAATTATTGGAAAAACTGATCCCATCTGTATCATGTTCAATAGCGTTTGTTCTTGGGCCAAAACACATCAGTGCATCAAACTTTATTAAAATATCCATCTTAAATCCATTCAGAATGTGATTCCGAGTCGGACAGTGAGTCTATCTTAAGGTCTTCTGGGTGTTACGTACCACTGTGCAAACTGAGTATGTCCTTGTACGACAAGTGATTTAGCACGTGGTATAAAATTTCAATGTTTCGATTTTGAAAAGTTTCCATTTTTCCGACCCACACCGTTTTGTTTCCGCTTCTGTTACATTTCTAAAAAACGAGCATCTTTTGCGATATATAACGCTTGACATTCGCAGGAAGAATGCGATAATTCTATGCAACGGATAACTCCATATTGTGCTTTCCAAACGCATTATTTTTAAGTATCTTTAAATTTCCAACTAATTAACAGAAAGTGTGCAAAATACTAATAACACAATAATAATAAGAATGCCATGTCCCTACACCACATCACCTAATACGGTCATTCACTTATTTCCTTAATAAAACACTAAAAACTATACATTATTTTTATGTAAATGCATAATTTTCATAAAAGCCTCCCATATTGGAGGTCACTTACACGTCAATTTGGTCTAATATATACATGGTCCTACATATATAAAAATTATACGTTAAAAGTTCACTTAAGAATTTATTTCGCGCTTACACATTTCAATTCGCTAAATATATTACAAAAAATAACTTATACTTGAAAAAAGCGAAGTAAATTGCGGAAAAAAGACATTACGTCTTTACCGTATGCATAATTCGAAAAATCCCACTCATACATGCATACAATCGGCATAATCAAATTGAGTGGCAATGAGAAAATTCAAAATATGCATTAAAAATATTCATAGAGTATTGAAAATCGTGTTAAAACGAAACAATTCGTGTAAAAAAAGTATTTTTTTTCTTCTAAGCTTGTGTTAAATCACATTTCGTGTAAAAAGAGAATTAAGCGTATATATAAAATTTCACTAAAAAAAGTGTGACATTTACTACGACATGTGCTTCATTCGCAAGCATTTTTCTATATATTTTTTCGAATTGTCGCAGTACTTCTTCGAAGCGGACTGATATGAGCGAATGACCAAGAACATCTGCACCAGGCCCCCGCAGTGATTTTAGGCACTTTAATAATTATTATTAGTTATGCCAATTCTACCCAGTGTGATAGGGCACAATGGAAAAGGAAAAGTAGTAATCTTTTCGCATGAAATCACATTTTTCTTTTTATCTTTTAGAGTTTAAATCGTAATGTTTACAATTTATGTAAATTTTTGCATTAAAAGTGATTGTCGGCGATTTCATCGTAAGCGATAATGTACGATTGTTGCGTTTGTATCGGTTAACCAATAATCAAATTATATAGTGAAAAGTTTAGAATCGGCTTTCCAAATTAAGAAAGTCAAAGAAGCTGGTTATCAAAGCGATTTAATGTAACTTTGATGCATGTCACTTAAATCGTACGTGATTAAGATGAGACCTTTTTCCCCAAAAACATGTTCATTATTCTTTGTTGTCGAATATTTTGACTTTGCTAATATGCAAAATTATTTGGCGAAATCAGCGAATCTAGCGAGTCCTAGATAAAATATTCCTGCATCCATTCCACTTAATGGTTTAATGGATGCGCCGGGTGCGTACAACCTTCAACATTTCTTGGCAACTACTATCGCGTTTTACTAAGGCTAAGAAATGTTTTGCAATAATCGGTTTCCCGTGTCTGCGATATGTAGTCTCAACATGAAATGATGTCACACATGTCGCAGTCCACAGTTACACTTTGTTATGAAAGGCCATTAATAGATAAATCCTGGGTTAATACATGTAAGTAATTTATTTTACATTCCATTTTCATCATGTTTTCTCGCATACTTTTTTGAAACTCGTGTGGACGGCTTAGCCACATTTCAAAATCTATCGAACTTTTTACCCAAAAATTTTTTTGCCACCACAATCAATTTTGTCTATTTCTGAGCGAAAATGATGAAATGAAATTATTTGACATTTTGTACATTTTTCATTTGTTTACAATTAATATCGTGTGCTGCGCTGTTATTCAAATCATTAGAAACATCAGAACTTTATTCAGAATCGTCAATTAGCTGCACTGTATGTGTTGTGCATTAACAATAAAAAAAAAAAAAACCGATTAACAGTACTTATCAACCAAATATAATATTACCTCGTTACAACAAACAAAAAACGCACTTCCAAAGTAGGTAAAGCATAACAAGGGATATAAACATGTCCGCTTGCTTCTTCAATCCATAACATACAATACATTAAAAAATTTTCGAGATTTTCCAAAAATATTTATTCAGTAGTGTGCGTAATGTTTGTTTTTATACGTTTCCACACAAGACGAACAACGAACACACACACAAGACGAACAGCAACACTTGTTGAACCTTTTCGCTTTTTTTTTTTTTTTGTTTCTACAATTTTCTTTTAAATAAACACTTTTTGGTTAAAGTTTTTAAACACATCCAAGCGTTAATTTTTATGACCCAAACAACACTCACCAACTGCTACTACCACTGACACCACTGACACATGCGTATGCGACAATTGAAAAATAAAAAATCAAATAAAATAAACAAAAAGGCAGAGAGCAAATTCAAATTGCCCGCATACCCCGCATACGTAATTAATTGGTTGTTTTCGCATTCTCTAACGAATTATATGGCAATTTTTGTTGCTGTGGTCGCAATTATCATTCAATACTTTTAAACTTAAATTAAGGAGTGTTTGCGGGTAGGTTTAATATCGCTTTCTCACTCAAATTGTATTTAATTATAACTTTTTCTTTACAAATTCATTTCACAGTGATTTATTCATTTTTTCCTTTTTTTTGTTGCTATGTATGGTCTGAGTTCTCGATTGATATATGCATATACATACATATATATATTAATATACATATACGCGTAAGAATAGATTGGCTTTTTTTTAAAGCACAATGAAAGAAACAACTTTTCCTTTAATTTAGCTCCTTGAGTTAATTAATTAATCTAAAATCTTTGTATTTACAAGTTTATTACTGTCCTTTTTTTTAAATTCGTTCCTACTTTGTTTACACTTTTTTTTTTCTTTGACACGCGAGATGTTCATTACATCCAGTGCTGCCATCGCCGAACTTTGCGAGGCTTCTAGTTGCCAATGTTGTAACAAAAGCATTATTATGGGAATAAAGAGATTTACGCAATAAAAAAAGAATGAAAGCATTGTCTCTGTAATAAATTGGGACAAATTTATTCCCGTAAGCTATCTATCAGAAAACTTGTTGTAGATTCGTAAATTTAACCAAATTCTCAACGAAATGTTTTCAGATTTTGCATGTAATATTTTTTTGTTCATTTAGTTTTTTTGAATGTAAGCGCTTTGCCATCTCTGTCTTAACAATCTGCATGGGGACTTTTGCCGACGGCTTTGCAATTAACATAGAGTATAACATTCTTTCTGCAAATAGCAGAGAATTTAACGTTGGCTTGCCTACCTTTAGGTGTAATATTAATATAATAATTGAGATTGCTTATACGTCCTGTTAGAATTTCTTTTTAGTTATATCTTCTTTTTGATGACGAAATATGTTTATATATGTTTTATTAAGTCTAATCTTTCCGTTTTTCTTCGTTTCCCAAACTGTATAATGGATTTAAAGTTAAAAGAGGAAAGAAAAGCCACAATATGTTTTATTTTTTTATAAACGGTTTATTTATTTATTTATATGTTTTATTCACGACTACTGTTGCTTTTTTTGTTAAATTCCCAAATTGTTTATTTGTTTGTATAGAATTTCAACAGATGTTTTTTATTGATTAGCAGAGAATTTGGAAGAAATCGGGGATTTTTGCCGACGGCTTTGCAAATTAGCATAGAGTATTACGTTTTTTCTGTAAATAGCGTAGAGTATTACGTTTTTTCTGTAAATAGCAGAAAATTTAGCTACTGTTTTGTTTAATTTGATAATTTAAAAAAAATTATGGCGGCCTACTTTTAGGCTAGCTTGTAAAATTAAATAAGTTAAATTCACGTATTTTCCAAAACACTAATGGAAAAGAGTGGATTCACTGCACATGCACGAAGAATAAGATATGAAACAAAAAAATAAAAACTTCAGTGTAAACGTAAATGAGATTTTTGAATTACATCTCGCAGGGCGGACGTGAAATATCAAAAATATAATTATCATGATCATGTTACTTAAAACAGGAAAGGGATTGCTCAAATATAAAGAAAAGATATTGGATAGTACTATTTTTTTTTAACCTGCGATGTTAAACGAGTTATTACAGCATACAATATATAAATTACGCTTTTACAACTGTGGATATTGGATTTTACCATTGTTTTTTTTGCCAAACTAAACGCTACATTGTTTTTCCATTAGATAATAAAAATTTTGAAAACGTTTCCTAAAGAGAAAAACAAGACTTCAATGCTCGTCTTTCAAGAGAAAGATAATTTTTAGAGGGTGGTTTTGGAATCGTAATCGTACCTTGGAAAGTCGTTACATACATCCTACGCATAAATTGTTTTGCTAATACATAAATTTTATGGCATCTTCGAAGGCCACTACTCTTTTCGTTAGCTGTTCCATACTTTGAAAATCTTTCACTCTTTTAAAACAATACACTCTAATAAAACAATTTGATAAACTGTTTTTAAATCGCAGTCTTGGTTTTCGCTTTTCGTGCAATATTATATAAAATTAATCAAAACTTCAAAGGATATAATATATAAAATATTTGAATATAATAACTTCTTAATTAAAGCAATATGATTTTTGAAATAGTAAATTTGTTAAAGAAAGCCAACAATGGGGGAAACGTAATTTCCCCCCATTATCTGAAAAAGAAAAGCTACTGAAGGATGACGAAAAACGAACGAAGTACAATATTGGAAGCGTAAGAACCTACAACGGAAGTCAGGGCAACAATTAACATCGACGAGGTAGCTCAATGACACTGGAGCATTCGTTTGTTTAAACACTATATTAGGCCGAAAGCACGAACTTATCGTACATTGACAGTAATGATTATTGTGCACCAAATTTTCAAGTATTTCAGTCATAAAATGTTGCTCGAATCCTTACAAAGTTACACCAGAATTAGAGGAAGCGATAAGGAACATTACAGTCGCACGCAAGGACAACCATTAAAGGGACCGTTCCACTCTTTGCTTAACACAATTATTCATGTATTCTCGTGAGAATAAAGCAAAAATTTTATTATGTGTTCATGTAAAGATGTAAAGGCATAGGGGCATAAAGACATGTGAGCGTGCCGAAATAGCAACTGACGTAGTCTAAATTTAGCAAATTTAGTTTTTTTTTCCCAAAAATTTCATTATTCTCGCCTTGTTTTCGTGGCAGACCGTTGTATGGAATGGGAACTAAAATATAGACTTATGTGGCTTAAATTTGATCCTGTTAATTCATATGTTAAACAGCCTTTATGGACCAATTTTCACCACAAAGTATTGAAAATTTGATCTTTTTACCATATGAAATTTTAATTTTTAGTTTATGTGAAGATCGGAGAGGAGGGAGCTTATAATAGCATCACCCAATCAAAATTTTTTAAATCAATTTCAAACTGGAAGCACTATTACTTAGAGATTTTTGTCGAGAAATTTTAAGATTTGGAAATTTTTCCACATAACGACTTGTTCAAAAAAAAAAAATGTTTCTGAAGTTGTTAAAGTGATTAACAACCAAAACAATGAAATGAAATATTTAAGGCAAAATGACAGTCTGCCTGTTATGCAACAAATGCAACCATGTGATTTTCTAAATAACAACCCTGTTAAAATAGTAGAAAGCTTTTTGCGTGTTTGTAGTTGTATGCTAGTACGGTATGTGATTGGGTTGTAAAATATATTGTATGTTTACTTCGATTTAGTTATCTTCATTTCCCAAACGGAAAATATTCGTTATTTCCTCTTTGAATCGCCAAATTGAAGAAAAGAAATTATAAGAAATTATTAAAAACTCATAAAAATTCCAGAGCGATCTATAAATAAAATAAAGTAAAATTGAGCTCTTTAATTATTAGAGAAATTAAACTTGAATCATAAAGAGAAATGAATAAATAAAGCAAATTAACGCACATTTAGGTGCAAGAAAAGGAAAGAGTTTTGCATAAAAAACTAAAAGAATGAAAAAGAGCAACAGCAAAACAAATAAATCGATCAAGCTTATAAATCTTAACAGAGCAACAATACAACAATCTTTTAATCATGGACAGCAGAATGAAAAAATTTTAGGTTCAAAAGTGTATTAGGAAAAAAATCAAAAATAGAAAATTGACGAAAACATGTCTACAATGATACCATCGACACTAATAATCCTAATCTCGTTCCACCCATATATCGAATGAAGTTTGAGAAAATCAAGGTCTTACCATTGCAACATACCAATGGATCGTTAAGGAAGCTACTTCTCCAATTTACAACAATAGCCAAAAATTAATATCATTTAAATGTTTGATTTTTATTAAATCGACAAGACTACCACCCTATCAGCCTACCTTCTGAAAAAAGCAAAAGCCAATAGTCTTGGTTGCTTAGTGCCCATTCTTCGTTTTGATCGTGGAACTTATATTTTTGGTCTAAATAAATTGTAAATTATAAATTATAATAATAATAACCATATAGGAGGATGGCATACAGAAACAATTTAACAGGAGTTTGTGGGAAGATTTTATCGTAACCTTGTATAAGTTTATACAGTTTCTTTCTATGCAAATACATTGCTGATCATCCGGTTATAACGATTTTGAAGAAATCATAAAGTTCACGAATTTGAAATATTTTATAGATCAGATGAATCCTGAGTTTTATGATCTGAAAGACTTTTGCTGCTATTGTGAACGGGACGATCTGAAGAGGCTGGCTAAGTGTTCGTTGTTCGTTGTTGTCGGTCAAGTGGATCACATTTTATACGAGATGATACAAATATCTCTAGGCGTAAGCGGTGCGACCTGTTTCGTAGATGCAAGCGAGAGCAAAACTCTCAAAATACTTCAACTTTTTAAATAACCACGTAATAGATAAATGTTTAATGGATATAAGAAAACACAGCACTCTCCCCAGCTGAGAGGAAGCTAGTTAAGCTCCTGAGTGCAAGTAGTTGTTTTCTTTCAGTATAGCTCGCATCATCTATGGTTTCAAATTTGATAGCGGCCCTGGCTTGGTACCAGATGGGTAAAAATAATTCGAAAGAATACTTAAAAAATCTATGTTCTCGTAACGTAAGGGAAAATTGCTCTCTATACATCAATAAAAATAAAACTAATTATCGGAGGGTTACTGCTAGCAACGATGAACAACGAAATTCTTCACAAGAAGAAAATTGTAAGAGTAAATAGGAAAAGTAAATAAAAAACGTTTATAGGGAATAAAAAAAAAAATGATTCACATATATCAGCTTTCATTATTGATGCATTATATCTCTGTAGAACAATGGAGGGCAAGTTTTTTCATCAACGGGTCAATATTTTAATTTTTCTATCACGGCGGAGGCCGCTAACAAGATCTGACTATTATCGTCCTTATTGTACAACGGGATGGATTCGGCGATGACGCGGGCCGGCGGTTATCCATACTTGCTTTATGAC